TTTGCTGATTGAAGTTGTCAATAACAACACCAGTGAAAAGATTGAGTGTGAAAAATGCTCCAAATATGATGAAAACAACAAAATAACAGTACATATATAGGTTGACCTCATAGTCTGGTTGTTCTTCTGGCTACAATGATAACAAAAAAACAAGACATTAAAAAAAAGACGTCCTTTAGATTACTATTCTGGCCAAGCGGATGTGTGCCTTAAGTGATTTAATTTTACAGGAAACTCTGCCTTGGTGGTATTCACTTACTTAGCACTGTGTGTACAGTGCATAAAATATTCTGTCTTCCTAGTCCCTGTCAGTATCTGTCAAAAAATTGAGCTGCAGCATTTTGAATCAACTAAAGGCTTTTCAGGGAGTTTTTAGAACATTCTGATGATAATAAATTACAGTGGTACATCCTAGAGGTAATAAATGCATAAACTAGTTTTGGATGTCTCTAATTTTTAGAGATATTGCGCAAATGAAAAAAGCAGTCCTACATATTTGTTTAATATGTGCATTACCTGGCCAAAAATGACTTCAAGATTCCTCACAATGTTATTGGAGGCCACCGTAATGCCATCCAGAGTTAACATTTGGTTAGACACCATATTTCTAAGATTATTAGGGCCGTAGAATAACCTGTTTTATCTGAATTTAGAAGCAGGAAATTACAGTAGAGGTCATCCAGATCTTTAAGATAAAGCTAACTCTTGCTCATGTTAGACCAACCCTTCACTTCAAAAAATATATTTTACATTGTTATAAATTTTTCATCAGAAATATGTCACCGCCTCAGCAAAAGAAAGTGTAATATGATTTTAATAAAACATTGACATTTTACAGGAGTTAAAGCATTTATATGGTGAGATATAAAAATAATCACCAAGGTTTGAGAATCAACAGCGGCATACATGATGTCCATCCAACCCTTAAATGTAGCCTATAGAAAAAAATACAGTAAGTGACAACGGTAGAAAAACATGTTCTTCTATTACAAAATTTGCAACAAAATACTGATTTACTTACTACTTGCAACAGTGCAAGGTAACCCATGCCAACATCATCAAAGTTGACCTTAAGATTCATCACTCGAGCGCTTCCATTTTCCATTTGCTTACAGTCTGTCATATTTTTCACTTCTGATACCAGGAAATTTTTATTTGTGGTTGTGTTGACACAATAGTAGAACTTTCCTGCAAATAAGTTGACTCCAATGATACTGAAGATCAGCCAGAAGATGAGGCATACCAGCAGCACATTGAAGATGGAGGGAATGGCTGCCATTAGGGAATTGACAACCACCTGCACATCAATACACAAATTACATAACATAACATATCTGTACAGCAGACAGAGATCACAGAATTCTAAACTGATGCATGATATTGTACACTGTGGTAATGGTTAAAAATAAATTAATAGATAAAAAAATAAGAAAAAACACATTTTTAAGTGCCATTCCGTTGGGCTGCAACTAAAGTTTATTTTGGTAGTTGACAAATCTGCCAATTTTTCTTAGATTGGTCAAATAGTTAACGATTACTTTAATAACTCCTGTCTCCACTTTCTGTGAGCTAACCTCCTGTTTTAGGCTCCAGTACCTCACCTGCTCACGTCTGACAACCTGTGAATATTACCCTGCTGTCTTGTCCATTTATGTGGTATTGGTATATGACAAGTCAAGAATAAAATTCCACGTAGATGAATTTTATTGTCGACATCATTGATGACGTGGGGCTGCACGGCATCAATGGGTTAGCGCGGTTAGCTAGTTAATGCATTGATGCCGTGCAGTCCCACGCACGGGGCAATCTCGATAAGGGAGATTTGTGATTACTTATCTTCATATGATAAGAACCACAAAGTGCTTCACAATAATATAAAACACATGTACATAAAACAACACAATCGAGTCTGCAGCACAACTCTAGTAGAAAGCCAGTCTGAGGTTTTGAGCTTTTAGCTGCTGTCTGAAAGAATAAATAAAATCAAGGCAACTTTAAGATGGAGGCAAAG